TAGCTTCCTCATCCTTGCCAAGAGCCAGCCTTGAGCTTTTGTTTTCACTCCCTTTATGTTTATTATTACATAATCGTCTTCACTGTAAGGAAAAAAAGGGAAGAGCCTCCACAAACTTTCAAGTATTGTCTTCCTACAGTATTGGTCATAAAACCAACAAAAAGGACAATTAAATACAGCAATCCTAGGGTGAGTCACACCACGGAGAAATCAAGGAAATACCACATCTGTAATATCCTCCCTGGAGACAAGGCGAGTGAGCCCTCCCATTCAAGAGACACAAGGACTTTTTCATGCATGTGAGGATGCTGTGGTGGACCACAATGCTCTAAGCCCACCAAACCAAGCCTGCTTGTTTGCCTGCTGCCCCGCTTACCTCACTCACCCAAGGCCCACTCTCATATCCTTCCCCAGGCACCTTTATCATTCATACTGCTGAACAGAAACCTACTTCCCCAGAACAGTTGAGGTCAGTACAAGCCAGTGCCAAATCACATGCTAATCAGCCAAACCTGCAGAAAAGCAAAGCCACAAGCTTTGATGGTCCTGGGTGACCACAGAGGAGGGAGCTAAGGGCTCACAGGTTTATTAGCCAGACACTTTGCAGGAAGCAGTTAAGTTTATGGTGAGGAAAGAACAACCCTAAAGGCTCTGAAAAAGACACTTCCTGCCTGTGGTCTGTCCTGAGCCATTCTGTCTAAGGCAGGCTGAGTTACTCAGCTGCAACAGCACACTATAAAGCACTGTCTGGAAGGAGAGCAGCCCCATCTCTGTTGGAGAGACCTGCCTGGCAGGTTTCAGTTTCTACACTAGGGCACACAAGGGTCCAGTGGATTTGAAAAAGCAGAAAAGGAAGTGAACATCCATAAGGAACAAACACGTAATGTGGCTGAGAACTGTAAGATCTTCAAGATCAGTCAAAGGGAAACAGTTTTCAATGTTATGAATCAAATATCCCCAAGGATTTGGTGCTCAGGTCTCAGGAAAACTGTCCCCCATAGAAGTTCCCGAGTGAAACGCTGGGAGTCGGCAGCAGTGCTCTCCCTGGTCCCTGCCCCATCCATATTCTTTCATCTCTGGTGGGCCGTGTATGGTCAGTTGTCCACCACCCAGTCAGATGCAGCTCACATTCTGAAGTAGGAAAACGGTGTCAAACTCCAACCCCAGCAACAAGGGAGTATTCACTCATGGTTACTGAATCAACATAAAAAGAAGAGAACATGACTAGGAGGTTAGTTGTGGAGTCCAGAGAAGAGGGTTCAGTGTGGGGCAGAAGAGATTTTTAGATAGGTTGAGTGACTTTCCTTGAGCCTGACACTCCTGAGCCTGACACTCGTTGTCTCTTCCCCACTCTAGTGTTAAGTACAAAGTAAGATATCTAATCCTGGCCATTAAACATGTTCTACAACACTCAAACTGAAGCAAAAATCAAGGGTTCTCACTGTTCAGATATGGACATTGGGCCACTTCATGTGTGGTAGGAAGGACCACCTCAGAAATGTCAACAAAATTTATCATTTTCCTCAGATAAGACACCTGTACTAACTGGAAATGGGGTGGAATTTAGTTCTACAAATGCTATATAAGAAGGCTGTCAACCCACCCTTTCCCTGGAGTAGTCCTTAAACAAAAGCTAAATAAACACAACATTCTTTGCTTTGGGGCTGCATTATTCTGATTAAAGCTCAAACCAATAGGGTAGCTGAAAGGGTGCAGAGGGCATTATTCAAAACTCTCACTCTTCAGATGCTTCTACAGCAAAAGCAAACTGCCTCCCACCAGTCCAGCAGACCCTGTTAGGCCTAGGAGAAGCACTCTCTTCTGAGTATCTTGATTCTAAAAGGATCAGTGTGTATCTTGATGATTCCTGAACAATCTCCCACAATGGGAGATTGTTCAGGAATCATCAAGATACACATTTTTGCTCACCTAACTGTACCCAGAAAGCCCTAGTGACCTTCACAAATAGCTAGCCCCACTATCTCTATAAAAGCCACATGGTGCAAAGAGAATTCTGTGAAGATTCAGGAAGATTTTCTTCCCACTAACTTGAGATCCACTTGGGGTTAATGCCCTGATCTTCTGGGTGGGATCTCAGCTTGGCTCCTAAGCTGTCAGTTGAGGTGCTCGACAACTTTGAGGAAGTGCTTCAATATTCTTGCCTATGAAACAGCAATAAAAATAACAGCAGCTCATAAGATTTTATAATGATTAAATGAGTTATGGCATGTAAAGGACTTAAAACAGTGCTTGGTATATAGTAAGAAAAATACTACTTTCCTATTGTTTTCCTTATTATTATATTTTGGGGGTCATATTACTTCAGCCGTGTTTTCCAGGCTTCTTTTCTTAGTGAGATCATTCCTATTCCAGGGTTATTTAAATATAAAATAACTTTAAAATGAAATAATTTCAGATTGCTTTCATATCAAAGTTAAGAGCCTGTGATAAATGTTAAATGGTCATTAATTATTTGTAGCTACTCCCATTAGAAAGTAGGTTCCATTTGCAACCACCTTCCTTTGAATCTGGCCAGGCTATGTGACTCTGACCAACAGAATGGGGCAGGAGTGTGGCAGTTTGATTTCTGAGACCCAACTTCAAGCTTGCACCTTCTGCTTTTGTTCTATTGACAGTTTGTCATGTGCAGGAGTTCAAGTCAGCCTCCCTGAGAAGGAGACCACATGTCTGAGATGCTAGCCCACCTGAGGTCCCCTAAACCAAACAGCTCCTGGTCATCAGCCAAGGACATGGCATAAGGGACCCAGGTGAGACTAACCAAAAGACCACTCAGCTGAACCCAGTACAAATGGCTATCGCACAGAATCAGAAGCAAATAAAGCCCTTGTTGTTTTAGGCTATTAGTATGAGGTAGTTTATGATGCAACATATAACTACAAGATCACCCTACACAAATGAGGCTTTGTTACCCCTAGCATTTAAAATAAAAATGCACCTATGTAAAACCAAGACACTTCTCTAGTTATCAGCAAGTTTACCAACTACTACATGGAACTTTCAAGCTCTCACCCCACTCACCTAAGGCCAGAAAGGGCATTGAAGTCAACGCACCAGCTTAGAAAAAGCTAATGCCAGCTAATGGTCAAGCCTGGAGAGAAGGAGGTAAGATCGCTGTACCAAGATCATGCCAAGGTAAGCTTCTGTGGGAATTGTGGTGGGAATGAAGGAACTGGCTCCTTTAGGTCTATGTAGAATGTAGGGCCAGAAATGACAAGTCTGGCTTCTGCAGAAGTAGCTTTAACTGTACACTGACATAAACTGATAGCTTCCATGGCATGAACATACCAGGTAAGGATCAAGGGAGTCAGGGAGAATTAACTGTGGTCCAGATATGTGGCATTCGATCTCCATGCTGCTGGCCTTGTTATGTTTCTCCGTGGGCTACATCCCAGTACTCCTCCTTTTTTGTTTGACTGTCTAACTTTGGGCAATTGACCTAATCTCTTAAAACCTCAGTTTCCTCAACTGTGAAAGTCAGGCATCACTAAGACCCTCCTCCCTGGAGTGCCAGGCAGATTAAAAGAAATAACACATATATAATGCCGACTCTGGTGCTTGGCAGAAAATGGGACCAATAAGCACCTGTTATCATGATGGTGATAGCTACAATTATAATTGTAATTTTTGTCCTCATTATTATTATTGTCATAGCAATCAAGTGCAGTACAGTGGTTAATATTTTTATTAACAAAAAAATTCAGCTCTTTGCTGGAGAGGATGACCCCCTGCACTCTGTGGCACATCTGCTTGGCCACCCTTCTGATGTTCATGCACTTTAGGTTTGTTAATAGCAGACTCTTAAATTGAAGAAACTGCTCACACCACCCAGTATGCCCTGGGGAGAGTAGTGATGATAATATACAGATTCCTACTTGTTTTCTTGGCCTAATTAGGGTAGTACAATGTCATCCATTTATAAAGGCAAAGAGTAAGACATCTGAATAGGCATTTTACAGAATTCTGCTTTGTCTTGAAACATATAATTATCATTAACAAACATGGATGATAATAAATAATATTCAGTTTGGTCTTTCGACAAGAAAAAGGAATGTAAACATTGCCATAGCCCAATCAGCTCATAACAGCAGACAATTTCCTTTGGGTGTTTGCTTCCTCCCTTCCACCCAACAGATGCAAGGTGGGAGGTCTGCTTGCAAGGCAGAGCCTCTGGGCTGAGAACTGACAGCCCTGCCAGCTGGGGAGGCAGGATAACTCAGCTGTCAGGGTCAGTCCCCAGCCCTCATGAAGGTATTCCTTGGCATTTGCAGCATGACCTTGGCAAACCAGACCTAGGATCTGAATTTTTTTTTTCAGCTAAGGAAATGGAGACTGATCTAACAGTCTAATCTAGTCAACCTCTGTATTAAGCACTACATCTTAAGTTAAAAGTAGAAATGAGTGAAGTAAAAAAATCATCACCATTGAAACAACTTTACATGTGCCCACATCTACATTACCATTTCTTCTTTATTTGGGAAACACTTTCGTCCTGTTTTGGATGAATAAATATTTTCTAAGCCTGAACACTTAAGTGTTCAAACACTTAATAATTATTACAAACACTTAATAATTAGTGCCCATACATACAAAGTGCAGTCAGCAATGTATTTTATCTGATATACTTTTGAGCATCAACCCCATCCCCACATGCTTTCACCCCAGGCAATGGGAAGGTTACTCTGGGTGGGTTCTCTCTGTTGTGGTAAGCGGAGAAGTCTTTCATCCTCTAACCATTTCCTAGGCTTCAAGGCTTCCTGCTTTGGTTCATCAGAAACCTTGTAAACTAAGCCAGACTTTCAAATCCTAGTACCAAGGTGAGCAGTGAAGTGTTAGAAAGAAATAGAAAACTAGCAAACTGCCTAGAAGATGGGGAAAACACTCATTCCTAACACATTCACAAGTCTACTTGGATCTCCAACAACTTAATCAGAGCTCCCCATGAGAATCTGAGTGCTGTCCATAACAGCTGCAATTCTTACCTTAAAAAAGAGTGCAGTTGTCAGGCTCCACTCGGAAACAGCGAGTATGGACCCAGCGTTCTCAGCCTACCAAAGAAAAACACAGTAAGAGCTACGGCTGCTGATGCATTACATTCCCAAGCACCTAGAATGTTTCCTAACCAAGAGCAGGTCTCCCGATGTTTGAAGACCTTTCAGAACAGAACAACAACAATGTGATCAACCAAACAGTAGCAAATGCATGAAATCCCAGAATGAAATCAAGATGGAGCCGTTAGTGTTACAGAGGCAAGTGAGCTAACGTTTTATGAACACGCACCTGGGCTCAGTCTAATTGGGAATGGTAATAATTGGTGAAATCATACACCTCATCACATCCCTCCACAAAAATGGCTGTTTACAAAAGGGCTGGCAAAACTCTCTGTAGCACTGACTTATACAGGGGATTTGGCAGGCCACAGCATTCACACATTCACACGTTCAACACATTCACAATGAATACTCTATGCAATTTAACCAACATGGTTTGGAAGCCAGCCCTACTAGCTGATGAAATAATGACAGCATGAGCCTTGAACCTAGATGAAGAGGTGGGAGGGACCCGGACTCCTTTCCTACATGTACTCAAGTAAGCAAATATAAAAGGTAATTTTAATTTTTAAAAAAATGTAAAAAGTCTATTATGGATGTATCCCTATCTGTGATGGTTAATTTTATGCATCAACTTGGCAAGGCAATGGTTCCCAGTTGTTTAGTCAAACATCAGTTCAGCTGTCATTGTGAAGATATTTTTTAAATGTGATTAACATTTAAATCAGCAGACTAAAGCAGATCCTTCATAGTGTGGGTGGGCCTCATTCAATTAGCTGAAGTGCTTAGAGAAAAACTGAGGTCCCACTACAAGGCATTCTGCCTCAGGAGAGACGCGAAGCCAAAGCACAATTCACTGAAGTGATGTAGCGAGGGGAAAAAGGAGTGGGGGCCACGAAAGCACGCATACAGCAAGCTGACCTTCTTGGCTTGACCCCTCCTGACACAAAGGTGAGTAAGAATTAGGACAGCTCTGTCTGAGGCTACAGCCCTGGCAACGCCCTGGAGGCAAGGTTTCCTCTATGGCTCATTAGGGGCAGATCCACAGAGAAAATGTCCACAAGCCGATTGCTAAGCTTAAGTGATGTATATCTAAGCATAAAGAGCTCAGCTCTTATATTTGTGAATTTGTGTGTCTCATATACCCTTCTGCATTAGAATCAATTTTAAAACCTTTTTTATGATGATAAAATATACATTATAAAAACTTTACAGTTTTAACCATTCTAAAGTATGCAGTTCAGTGGCACTGAGTACCTTTGCAATGCTGTGTAACTGTTGCCATTGTCCATTTCCAGGGTACTTTTATCACCGAAACATGAATTCTGTCCCCACGTTGCCTGTCCCCTGACCCTGATGACCTCTATTCTACTTTCTGCCTCTGAGTTTGCCTAGTTTGGTTTCTCCATATAAGAGAAGTCACATAACACTTGTTCTCTTTGCATCTGCACAAACCTTTTCGTGTAGAGTGACATCTTTTGTCACTTTGCACAGTGCTTTCAAGGTTAACCATTCGCAACAACGCATCAAATTTTCCTTCCTTTTTATGGCTGAACAATATTTCATCAAGTGTAGACTGCATTCTGTTTATCCTAGTATTCATTTTATATAATTAACTCACCAGGTAATTGGTGAAAACTTTTCAATGTGAAAAGTTTTGATTTTTGACTTATTAATTTTATCTTAAACGTGGTGACTGTAGGAGAAGCAGAAGAGCTACTCCACAAGGAACCAATTAATTACACAAATCCTACTTTCAGAACAGTAGCAGCAGCAAGAAAACAAAAACAAACAAACAAACAAAAATTAAATAGTTTCTCTCCACTAAGGGTTTGGTCAATCCCTACTCACAATCTTAATTAATATTCTTCATATTTAAACCAAAAGTGAGATTAGACTAGCCCCCCTGAGTGGTAAGCTTATATTGTAACTCTTAGTATCATGTAACCCAAAGCTTAAGATGTGTCATTCTTGACCTCCAGCCCAGTAATAATGAACCTCTATCAAAAGAGCTGATGTCAAGAAGCCAGGAACTGCAGTACCATGAAGCGCTGGCTCCTATCCCTGCAGATGAGCTACCCTAACAGAATCAAACAGGAAGACGCAGCCCCCTCTAACCTGCTTCCCACCTAACACTTTCATTTCCAGTGCATATAAATATGGTAGCCAGCCTTTCCTGTAGACATGTAGGTTCTCAGATGCACGCATCCCTCAGCAAGAAAATTTCAGAGCTGAAAGAGAAAAGGGGATGCACCACTCCACTCTGGTTTTCACCTTCGAAGTATAGCGAGAAGCAGATGGCGTGAAGGGGGGATGCTCTGCACACCTCAATTCACAAAAGCGGCCCAGTGGGAGTCATCAAAAATGTCCACAGGAAGTCAACAAAAAGCAGCCATTTTTGCACACTGGCAAGGGAATTGCAAGCAAAATCAGGAGCCATAAAGGATGCAGACCACTTTGTTCAGCAAAATCTTCTCAGCTGGGAGGATCTGCTGTCATCCTCGATTGTTACCACTTGCCTGAGCTGAAGTTCATTCCTTGCTTTTTTGCTCAGTTAACTGGGAACATGTCATTTAAACAACAAAAGCTGTTGTAGAAAATTATACAGAATTAAGCCCTGAATACATCCTGTATGTTTTGAAAGCCTGACTTCTAGAGCAAGACTTTGATTTTTCAAAAGACAAAGTGAACATTATTACAATTACTCTTTTTAATATGTAGATAGATAATCCATTGCATCTAAGAAAAAAAAAATGTGATGAGTTGTAAAAGTAATTCTCAGGAGGGTGCTAATGCAAATGACCTCAAGTTAGCATAACTGGGAAGCTACAGAGCATCAGTGACATAGATCCTAGAAGTATCTTGGCACACATTTTGAGTACGAAAGTTCTAAATGTGACAGTCATTTCGAGCCTGCTGGTTGTCATTTAGTTCATCCAGACCTCCCCAATACTCAAGCCCACTCACCCAACTCAGAAGGCAAGTCTCAATGGCCTGAATCCATTCTCAGAAAAGCCCAAAAAGGTAGTCAGGGCTTCTCAATAGTTTCTCAATAGACCTCCTACTCTACTTCCCCTCTGTTAGGGGTGGAAGTGTTTCCCCAGCCTCCCTCAAAAAGTAAAACCAAGAAAAAAAATGAAGCACTAATCCCAAGTACCTCTAAATGTGACTTTATTTGGAATAAGATCTTCAGAGAAGCAATTAGGTTACTATAAGGTCATGCTAGTGGGCCCTCAATCAGTATGACTGCTGATGTCATGAGAGGAAGTGAGGGCAGAAACACACACAGGGGTAAGATCATGTGAGGACACAGGGAGGAACTGCCATCCGCAAGCCAAGGAGAGAGGCCCAGGAAGGCGCTAAGCCTGCCGACACCCAGACTGTGAAAATCCCACTTCCACAAGTTTGAGAAAGTCTCTGTTGTTGGAGCTATGTGGTCTGTGGTACTTTGTGATGGCAACCTGAGCAAACTAACACACCCACCCTTTATCTCACTGCTCTGATTGTCAGGGGAGACTCTTGAAAGAATTCAGATACTCTTTCTCCTTCTCTTCACAAGGACTCATCATCATTCATTTCCTTAAATCTAAATGAAGTGACAAGTAGGAACTCCTCACTGACATTTGGAAGACCCCTCCTCTCAATAGGGAAGTGCTTTCTGCCCCACACCCTCTGACCTCTATATTAATCTCTGCCTCTACTGACTTCTGCATGAGAACTAGATGCTGTCCTGCAAACACCGTCAGGATCCAGCTACTGCAAATTGTGTCCTCATTTCTCTTGCTTCAGTACCCTGAGCTGACTCAGATGTCTTAACCAACCTCAATTTCTTTTCTTCCTTTGAAAAAAAAAGGAGTACTTGGGGACAAAGTGTCTTGCACACTACAGAAAACATTTCCAGAACAAGATTAGCAGAAATAAAAAGACTCCCAGTTGCCTCAAGACCTGATTCACAAGTAATTACTTTTTCTTTCACTGGAAAAAATTTATATGGAGACCTGACTGGTGTCCATCGTTAGCGCTGAGAGTCACAAACACCATAGTTGAGTCTCTGCCCTCCATGGATAATGCCTGTCCTACAGCAGAGCTGGGCATGAGGTCTGACTTCTAAGCCACTGGCTCCAAGGAGATTGTATTCTGAATGGAGTATAACAAGATGGACAGCTGCAGAAAGCCACAGGGGCAGTGGTACATGGACAGATCATTCAGCCCCTCCTCATGTCCTAAATCCATCAGGCTCTTGAACTCCTCAGTCTTAGATACCTCCCATCTCTAGACAAAGACAGCAACCAGCTAGCAGCAGCTTGGCCCAAAGGTATGCAGAAATGAATGTAAAATCCTCTTTGTCTTGGGAGTAATGCTGTGAAGAATTTATGGGGTCAGCAAACACAACCCCTTGGTCCTCTCCAGGCTGTAGATGTGGCCTGGGAACACTTGTCCAGGGCACATTCCAACTATCGAAGACTGTGGCACTCACACCTGCCAAGTCTCAGCAGTGGAAGAAAAAGAAGAGCAGCCTGATGCAATTAGCCAGGTGAACAGGGAACTTGTCAAACCATTTAGATAAGACAGTCCTTGAATTTATTCAGTTTCCATTACAGCAGGGTGATTGTGCTTCCACCCCCTGCTGATTTTCTGGCTGAGAAGGCTTTCTCCCAAGGAGGAAGCACAAAGGGAAAGGATGATTTCTCAACCTCCAAATCACAGGACTCTGATGGGAAATCAGCACGTATCACACCTCAAGCCAGGGGGTAAGGGACTTAAAGGGTCAAAGGACACATCCTATGAGGGACTGTGCCCCAGAACCTCAAACTTGATGATTTTTAAATTTCAAGTATCTAATTAATTTTTCAAAACAACTAAACTTCCTTACCCAGTTCACTATGCCTTACGTCATTTACCCATAACACATTTAGCTAAAGGGTTTTATTTGAATTATCAGATTGCAAGCAATCAAGAGTACATTTGAAAAGACAACTTTGAATTTTTTATTTTAT